TCTCTGTCTCTGTCTCTCTCTCTTCTTTCTTTCTTGTGGGAATCTGCTGGGGCCCAGCTCCAACCTGTCGGGCTCTTGGGTAGAGGAGAGAGGAATGAGGAAATATTAGGTAGAAAGATAGAGACAACAAGAAAGACAGAGACACAGGATAGCTTCGGGAGCCCTGGGTCAATGCCCAGTCGCCTGGAGGTTTATTCCAAAGAGTTTTTTGTACAATGCCAAGGGGAGAGGCAAAAGATGTCCCCCTTTCAAGATCAAAGCACAATGTACAGCCAAATATAGACCCTTCATAACACCTGGTAACCACGCTCATGGCCAAATAATTCCTTTATAAAGCCCTGCTGGGTAAAGCAAGCTCAGATTCTCTGACCTTGAGGAAGGTCTCACTAGGAAGCCTCTGTGGGTCTCCACACTTTCTTCTTCTTCTTCTTCTTCTTTTTTTTTTTTTTTTTTTTTTTTTGGTTTTTCAAGACAGGGTTTCTCTGTATAGCTTTGCGCCTTTCCTGGATCTCACTCTGTAGACCAGGCTGGCCTCGAACTCACAAAGATCCACCCGGCTCTGCCTCCCGAGTGCTGGGACTAAAGGCGTGCGCCACCACCGCCCGGCCACACTTTCTTCTTTCAAGACAGGGTCTCTCTATATAGCCGTGGCTGTCCTGGAATTCACTTTGTAGACCAGGCTGGCCTGGAACTCATAGAGATCTGTTGTGGGATATTTGATCCCACTGTGTGAAAGTGTGTCACTGTTTTATTCTGATTGGTTTAATAAAGAGTTGAATGGTCAATATCTAGGCAGGAGAGGATAGGCAGGATGTCCAGGGAGAGAGGGGAACTGGGAAAGAATCTGAGGCACATGGGAGATACCAGCGAGACACTGAGGAAGTTGGACATCAGAATGAAGGAGAGGTAAAAAGCCCCGTGGCAGAGCGTTATTAATAGAAACAGGTTAATTTAAGTTTTAAGAGCTAGTGGGATAAGCCTAAGTTAAGGCCAAGCTTTCATAATTAATAGTAAGTCTCCATGTCATTATTTGGGGGCTGCTGATCCAAAATTTCAACAAGGAAGACCAACTTCAGAGATCCACCTGCCTCTGCCTCCCTAGTACTGAGATTAAAGGCATGCACCACTATATGGTGATATTTTATTTATACTGAAATGTGATTTTATTTGTATGTTAATAAATAAAGTTGCCTGGGGGTCAGAGCTAATAGTAAGCCATAGCAGAGCTGGGCGTTCGTGGTGCACGCCTTTAATCCCAGAACTTGGTAGGCAGAGCTAGGTAGATCTCTGTGTGTTCAAGGATACAGCCAGCATTGGAGACACATGCCTTTAATCTCAATACCAACCATAGAAGACCTGGAGGTCTGTACAGACAGGCAGTGACAAGGCGGTCATGTGATTGAGTTTACAACCAATGAGAAGGCAGAACAGAAAGTCTATATAAAGACAAACACACAGGAAGTAGGTCTCTCTTGGTGGAAGAGGATCGCTGAAGCAGGAAGGGTAAGGCTCTTAGCTCTGACCTCTTGGGCTTTTATCTTTACATTGGCTCTGTGTTTCTTATTTAATAAGACGGTTACTTTTACACTACTACCCGGCAAGCTAAGCTTCCTTAACCACTCTCTCCAGCCCCCAGATAAAAGCGTTTATTATCTATCTATCTATCTATCTATCTATCTATCTATCTATCTATCTATCTATCTATCTATCTATCTGTAGATTTGGTGGTCAGGCTGGCCTCAAAAGGGTTATGTAGCTGAGGCTGGCCTTGAGCTCCCACAGTCCCCCTTCACCTTCTAAGAGCTAGGATTATATAGGTGTGCGCCATCACCCCTGGTTCCAAAGTGGCTTTAACAACAGAAATGTCATTTTCTCACAGTTCTGGTCCAGCCTCATTGTTTCTTTGGAGGTCTCTCCTTGACTTGTAGTGGCAAGTCTCTCTCAATCTCTCTCTCTCTCTCTCTCTCTCTCTCTCTCTCTCTCTCTCTCTCTCTCTCTCTCTCTCTCTCTGCCGCATCATCTTGTGGTTTTCCTCTATATGGATGCCCTTGTCACTCAAATCCAAGGCCTCAGAGGATTGCTTTGAAATGTGAAAGACTTGAAGGACTCCATGGGAGCTTGGACATTTTATTACTCACACACTGCCCAGTGTCTGCCTCTTGCCTGTAAGCAGTAGGAATATGTATAAATATGTAAACACTGTCCTGCTGGAGGCTGCATTAACTGACTTCTAACTGGTACCTTCCTTGCCCCCCAAGCCCTGTTTTCTTTTTCTGCTTCAATGTCTTTAAAGGAGGGAGATGGCCAGACCCTCTCACATCAGCACTTGCCTTTACAGTCCACAGAACACATGCAAGAACAGGACCCCTTTGACCCTTCAGACACTGACATGGTCTCTTTCAGCCAGCTCAGGATCTATGCCCACATCTCTTCATTGTACAAGGACAGTGGCCACATTGGATTCGAGCCTACTCAAAAAGCTCCATTCCAACTTAACTTAAACCCATCCCGAAGGGCCTTCGCTCATTTTCTGAGATTTAGCATATGGATTTTGGGGGATACTACTCAGTCAAGTGCTGGGTTTGAGACCCATGAGCTGTTGCCTTTTTTTTTTTTTTTTTTTTTTTTTTTGGTTCGGCCCACCCAGTATTCTCTGGTGACAGCTTTGCTCTCAGAACCTGCTATCCAGAAAGCTTCCCAGGAAGCACACCTCACCTTCAGCACATCCCAAGAAAATTCTGTCCCACTCAGCTGCTTCTGCGTGACAAAGATTTCATCTCAGCAGTGCATGCTCCCGAGAAGCTGGGTGACAGCCTGAACTCAAGACACCGCGACACCCCTGGCTTCTGGAGTCAGTGCCGCTATTGCTGGGATGGAAATACAAGGAGGTGGAAAGGGGGGGTGCAGGCACTAAATTTAAGTTTTTGGGGGGCTGGCCCACATGACAAGTTTAGACTTCACATTCTTTCTCACTGTAGCGGATAATTGATTCTTAGTTCCCACACTTTCAGTAGAACAAGACTGACATTTAAATGCAATTAATCCCATTTCTTCCTCACAGCTCTCTTAGATTGGATTCTGCTAGTTCTAAGGTGGTGGCTTTTTTTGTTTGTTTGTTTGTGAACCCAAGCTTGGACCAGTGAGCCACTTCATTTAGCCAAAACAACCCATTAAAATCAGAGGATGAAAAGAGTAGTCCTGGGGCTCATACGGAGACACATGCTCTTAACAACTTATTAAGGAACCTTGAGCACCAGGGGCGGGAGGATCACCACAAGTCTGAGGTCAACCTGGTCCCCAGAGACCTGTCTCACCACAACAGAACAGCTGACTATGCAAGGCAGGGGTAGGGTCCTTGTCTAGCATTGGTGAGGCCTTAAGGCTGACTTCCAGCTCTGCACAAAAACAATGGAATAGGTTAAGTAGAGAGCACACCCAGGACAGAAAGGAAGGGACCAAATCCAGGTCCACAAGAACCATTTTTTTCTATTTTTTTCTGAGACGGGGTTTCTCTGTGTAGTTTTGGTGCCTGTCTGGGATCTCGATCTGTAGACCAGGCTGGCCTCGAACTCAGAGATCCACCTGGCTCTGCCTCCTAGTGCTGGGATTAAAGGTGTGCGCCACCATGCCTGGCTCCAAAACTAGTTCTAAGAGTGGGGTTGCTGGGCTGGAGAGATGGCTCAGCAGTTAAGGGCATTGGCTGCTCTTCCAGAGGACCTGGGGTTATAGTCAGCACCCATGTGATGGCTCACAACCATGTATAACTTCAGCTCCAGGGGATCTAACACCCTCCTCTGGCCTCCATGGGCACTGCATGCACATGGTGCATTTAAATATGCAGGCAGAGCACCCATAGGTATTGAAAACCAGAGCGCAGCTGCTTGGAATCTGCTTCCGAATGGCGCCAAACCCATTTGTTCACCACCTGTGCCATTACTGAAACTTGTTTCCAAGAAGAGGCAGCTGAGGTGTCCTGGACTGAGGGTGCATGGGTGGGGTGGTGGGCAGGCAAGTGGGAGTAGTGGCTTCAGTGACTGAGGTATTGTTATAGTAAGCGAATGTGATGGCTATTCCTGGTTGTCAACTTGACTACATATGGATTTAACTAAAACCCAAGTGACTGGTCACACTATGAGAGTTTTCTTTTTGGGATAGGGTTTGTGTGTGTAGCCCTGGCTGTCCTGTAGATCAGGCTGACCTTGAATTTGTCTGCCTCTGCCTCCCAAGTGCTGGGATTAAAGGCGTGCACCATCACCACCATATTTTTACATTTATGTTCATGTGTGGGGTGTGTGTGCATGCCTGTGTGTATGTGTGTGCATCTTTATGTTCATGTGTGGAGTGTGTGTGCATGCCTGTGTGTATGTGTGTGCAACTTCTGGGAGTCATTTTCTCTTTCTGTCATGTGGGATCCCAGGGATTGAACTCATCAGGTTGGAGGTCCCTGCTGAGCCTCCCGTTGGCCCACGCGGCTGTGTTCTCTAACTCTCCAACACTCGATTAGGGAGTGACTACAGAACTGTCCCGGGCTGAAGAGACGTGACAACATAACACACATGGTACTAGGTGTAACAGGCCAGAAAGTGAAGGGAGGCCCTGCAGGGCATGCGCGGCACCATCTGCATTGGCTTGGTGTGGTGCTGGTCTTGATCTCCTGTTGATTTCCCGACAAGGAGGGCCAGACAGCGGCCACCCTAAGTGCCTTATATCGTAAGAGAGAGACATTCATGAGGGAGTTTAAAGGTAAGAGTGCCTGCAACGGACACATCAAGATAATGGACCAAGTGTGAAAATGCTAACAATTGGGAACGGTGGCCGAGGGGAGACAAGCTTTGGAAATATACCTTAGGCAGGTCTCACACTGGCTGAGGCTGGCTCAGCAGCTCTCTCTAGCCTCAGCTTCCCGAGTGCTGGGCTTGCCACCACCAAGTTTCTCCAGTGTTTCTGAAACTTTCCTGTAGGTCTGAAACTGTCCACATTCTAAAAAAACAAGAGACATGTCCAAAAGCAACTTTTTATTTACAATATAAAGGTTACAAAGGCATATATACTTATATATGTATATATATATAATACCCTTAAGTTACAAGTTTTCATTGTAATATACAATGCTATATGTTGATGTGCAACCCAAGGGAAGTGTTGTCTAAACATCAATATTAATAGAGTATACATAAAGCTTTTTTAAAAATTGAGAATACATACTGCTCTGTTTTATGTTATGGGTCTTTGATTCGGTAGCCAGAAACTTGAGACACTTTAAATAAGACTTGAACAGAGGTCTTACTTTTAATACAGGATTTTAAAAAGAGAAAACAAAGAAAGCCCAAAACAACCAACTGGTAGAAATGTATTCTTTCTTGGGACAATTTCACACACTTGAGCTGGCTTGATATTCACCATGTAACTGAGGACAGCTTCTTCCTGCCTCCACCTCTCCAGTGAGTGCTGGGCGCACAAATGTGACCACCACCCCTGGTTTGACATGGTGCTGGGGATGGACCCCAGGGCTTCCTGTACGTGAGGCAAGCCTTCATCCAGCTGAGCTACGTCACCAGCCTTACTTACGCTGCTTTCTAAGTCTTACACTTAGGGAAAAAAAGCAGTGTGGGGAATAATACACACATGTGGGTCATATCAGAGTGTGCACAGGAGAAAAAATAGGTTATGCTCTGTACTACTTCAGATCTGGAAGGAGAGAGATTACCTGGGCATCGAGATCTCCATACTCCACTCACCTAACAGACTAACCATAACACGGGCGTCCTGTACTGAAGGAGATCTGAACCCAGGGCCTAGGATATGATATAAGTGAGGTCTCAGAGACGGCAAACCTGAACTTTTTTCTCTCCTCAATCCTACTAATGCAGAAAACGTCAGCAACATGCAACAGCTACCTACTGTTAACAGGACTCAACAGAGGGAAAGCACTTCTTCCATCCTGCAGGACTGGACAGACAGCAATGCCATGTGCTGGTTTTGAGAAAATACAATCATTAGCACCTGTCAAAGGGCAGGGTTAAAGAGCAAGACACTGAAGGGATGACCTCCTTTTCACACGACTTGCTACACTTGAAAACGAGAAGCCTATGTAACTACATCCTTATGCCACCCCCACCACAGAGAGCTCAGGTGCTGTCTGGGAATGATTAAACATGTTTGAAAAGCTGACCTGACAGGTTAATAATTGAAGGCAAGATGATTGAAAGGGACTGTCACTGTAGGAAAACTCAGTCAACCTCTCATTTTTTCTAGGTCTCTTTCCACTGAGCTTGAACACCAGTGTGTCCTAGAATAAGTGGTATCTTGCTAATTTTTTAGGACTTATTTTTTTTTTTATTTATTATGCATACAGTATTCTGCCTGCATGTTTGCCTGCACACCAGAAGAGGGCACCAGATCCCACTATAGATGGTTATGAGCCACCATGTGGTTGCTGGGAATTGAACTTAGGACCTCTGGAAGAGCAGCCAGTGCTCTTAACCTCTCAGCCATCTCTCCAGCCCTGGACTTGTTTATGTATTGTATGTATATGGGTGTTTTGTCTGCATGTACATCACATACCAGAAGAGGGCACTGGATCCCATTGGACTATAGTTACAGAGGGTTGTGGGAATTAAACCCAGGACCTCTGGAAGAGCAGCCAGTGTTCTAACTGCCGAGCCAGCCCTGGAATCTTGCCAATTTTTAATGCAATTTGGGTGCTTATTAATGGAGAAACAGTCCAGCTATCATGTGTATAAGGACCTTAAAAAAATAAGACACTATGCCGGGTGGTGGTGGCGCACGCCTTTAATCCCAGCACTCGGGAGACAGAGCCAGGCGGATCTCTGTGAGTTCGAGGCCAGCCTGGGCTACCAAGTGAGTCCCAGGAAAGGCGCAAAGCTACACAGAGAAACCCTGCCTCGAAAAACCAAAAAAAAAAAAAGACACTGGCCGGGTGGTGGTGGCAGTGGCAGAGGCCGCGGCGGTGGCACACACCTTTAGTCCCAGCACTTGGGAGGCAGAGCCAGGTGAATCTCTGTGAATTTGAGGCCAGCCTGGTCTACAAAGTGAGTTCTAGGACAGGCTCCAAAGGGACACAGAGAAACCCTGCCTCAAAACAAAACAAAACAAAAACAAAAACAAAACAAAAAGATGCTTAAACGGTATGTATGAAAATGAATAGGTCAGCAATATTTAGAAATAAGCTTTGCTGCCTATTTAAAAGAATAATAAAAAAATAAGCCAAGCATGGTGGTAAACACCTCTAATCTTAGTATTTGGGAGGCAGAGGTAAGCTGATCTCTGAATCAGATATGGCTGTTTCAGGACAGCCAGGGTTGTTACACATAGGAAACCTGCCTTGAAAAACCAACCAACCAACCAACCAACCAACAAATCAACAAACACACACACATACACATACACCAATTGGTATCTGAGAGCAAAGAATAATTTGCAAAAAGCATATTTATATATTACATTAAATTCACATGAGCTGAGTTTCATGTATCCGAGATTGACCTCAAACTCTTTATATAGCTGAGGGATGACTTTGAACTCTTGATCTTCCTTGCCTCACTCCTCCCAAGTGCTGGAATTTCACTTCACATACTGTAGCTGGAGAGATGGCTCAGTGGTTAAGAGCACTGGCTGCAGCTACAGAGGACCTGGGTTTTAGTCCCAAGCACCCACCTTTGTGAACTCAGTTCTGAGGATCTGACGCCTTCTGGCTTCCTCAGGCACCAGGTGTGCAGACGATCCACGAGGCAAACACTCATATACATCAAATAAAAATAAACAGAATTTAGGAAATGCTTTGATCCAGTCACCCTAAGTGGGATGAAGAAACAGAGGTGGCAGAAATGATGCTCAAGTTTACAGATGGAGGCTGGTGCACAGTTGTGGTTCCTGGCACTTGGAGGCAGGAGGATCAGCAATCTGAGGCTGACCTAGGTGGGTCATACGAGAGAGTATGTCTAAAGACCCAGAAGAAAACCAACACTTGTTATTCTGAAATCAAAGGGGCTGGGAATATATGAATACATAGCTCGGTGGCACTGACTATTTACTTAGCATGCCCAAAGCCCTGCCTGGGGTCAATGTCAATGCCTAGCATTAAAAAAGGATAAGAAAGAATTCATGTTTTTCTGAGTTAATATAACAACCATTTTCCCAGTTGATCTGGCCACTGCTGGAAAGAGACAAGAAAATAATATGCTCCCTGTGGCTATTCCCTGAACCTCAACCTATGATTCTCACCTTTGATAAACTTGTGTTACTGATCAGCCAGATGTGGGTTTGTGTTTGTTTTTAGCTGTGTTCCAGAGGGACCCAGGGCCTTGTACATGCTGGGCAGGTGCTCTACTATTGAGCTACCCCTCCAGGTCATTTCATTTTCTAAAAAAGACAGAACAAGTTTCAGATCAGCTACTTGGGTAGTCCATTGCTGGAAAGAATAACTTCCACTTACGTCACTATAGTGTGGAACAACTATGCTGCTCGAATATACCTCACTCTGACATGCAGCCTGATTTCCACCTATCATTACTCCAGTCAATGTCTAGATGCCCAACACAGTAAAAGGTAGAGCTTAAAGATGGTTCAGGGTAACTGCTATCAGCTTTTAAGGAGTGTATGTAGAAGTTAAAATCATTCTAGATTACTAAATAATTAAAATGAGGGCATGGAGAAGGAACAATGGGAAAATGCAGTTTCTTTTATCTTCAGCAGAGGAAAAGCCACAAAACAACTGTAATGTCATGGAAAGATTACTAAGCTCACAGTACACTATAATAACACCTGGTTCATGTGCCTGACAGAAACATTTGAAAGAATGAATATGACTTTTGTAAAATTCAAGTAAAGTAAAATTCAACTAAAGTTAGGCAATCTCAAATTTATCTCTTTTATTTTTTTGACACAGGATCATATATAATCCAGCTGGCCTTAAACTAGCTATACAGCTAATCTTTAATTTGCTACCTGCAGCTACGAAGTACTAGAATTTCATCTTGTTTTGAAACAGTCTTGCTGGCAAACCCAGTTTAGCTTCCCAAGTACTCAGACTACCACTGTAGTGCTACATATTAAAATCTATCCAGAGCAATGTACTTTTAAGAACTAAGTGACCTGGCATTTGACTTCCTCATTAGAGATGAAGAGTTTGTTTGCTTCTTTCCTTTCCTGGGTCATTGGCCATGGGTGCTGGGATCCGAACTCCAGTCCTCATAGCTGAGCGACAAGCCCTCTTAACTCTGAGCCCAAATTTCTTTTTGTACTTGTTTTGTTTTTTCTCTCTGTGCAGCCCTGGCTGTCCTGGAACTCTACAACCAGGCTGGCCTCGAACTCACAGAGATCCGTCTGCCTCTGCCTCCCAAGTGCTGGGATTAAAGGTGTGCGCCACCACTGTCCGGAGCCCAGCTCTCTAAGGAGCCAGTTCATTCTTGGCACCTAGAGCTGCTGATGGCCACTTGGAAATGGAAGCAGAATGTTTGGATAGTTTAAATGTAATGTACACTCAATAGCTTGAACCAGTGAGAATAATAAATTATGATCTAGGTAGGTGTCTGACAAAGATACAAAGAACAGAGAAAGTGCTGGAGTCTATTCCCTGAACACTTCCAAACTGCTGAACTCTTTTAGCAGGTGGGGCTTTCAACAGAAGTTGCACAGCAGCTTGGAAGGTGATCTGCATTAAAACTCATGGGCACATTCATTGATGGATTTGAAAACAAATCCACATGCATTTAAATTAAACAGGAAGGCTGAGCTTCTTACAAATTTTTAAGAAATCAGTCATTTTCTCTATACACTTTTGTTCATCCAAACCACTCACAGTAAAACCCTTTTTTTTGGGGGGGGGGCATAATCGTGTTTAGAGTCTACATAGCTTAATATTTTTTGGTGATAATAATTTCTTGTTTTGAAAGAATAAATTTTGGTTTATCAGCTAAGTGCATTTATTCAGTTGAACAAAAGCTTTACTACTATTCTGTTCAGGAGAATAAGTTAGGAAAACAAATAAATCAGAAACAATGTTAGCTTTTTGTTGGTTAGAGAGATTTTTTCTACATATAAAAAAATAAATAATTCAATCTCTCCTACCATGAAAATAATTTCCAGTAACAAACTCAGAGTTCAGACAAAAACAAAAGACAAAAAAGCCCACCAGGCACTGTCAGACTTCCCTAGTCTAAAAAAGTGCTAAACATGGCTTCAAAATAGGCAGATGGCATTTAAAGTAACACTTTTGGTTGCCCATACATATCCCCAAATTTAACCTGAAACTGTTTACAAGTTGATGACTTTAGTTATAATTATCTAATAAATACAGCATACACACATGAGCATTTCTTTATATAAAATATTTGATACCAATTTCTAGGCAAGGCTTGTTGATAACATCAGCCTCCTTTAGTCCCCTGTCTTGTGGTGGAGGAGACTTCTTGTGCCCAGGGCCGGCTATCCAGGTATGGAAGGCAAAGGTACCCAGGAAGTGGTCCATCAGCACTGGGTGCTCTGTGGTTTCCTTGACACCCAGGATCCCACAACATCCCCAACAATATTCAAAAGAAAAAGACAATTTAGCTGATTCTATAAAAGAGGTGAATTATCAAGGGATGTTCATTTTTAGTTATTTGAAAATACTTTACCATGTTTTGGCATTTGAGTACAAAATTGGTAATACAGGTATGTATCAAGGTGTCCCAATCACAAAAAGCATTTCATTTGTGGCTTGAAAAATCTGACACACTTAGCTGACCACATGCCTGGGGGGAGGGCTACTCCAGCTTCTGAAACAAGCGGCTTAGGGCCCTCGCTCTCAGGGCTGTTAATGACAAAGAAATCACCCATAAGCCTCCATTTTACACCAGGAACCAAATGATAGTATTAAAAACCCCATGGGCCACAGTTCTCAAACGGATGGACACCTTACTGCCCCAAGTCATTACACTGTTTACAGCTCCTGAAAGGGACAGGGTGGCAGAAGTCCCTATCAAACTTCTTGGAGGTTTAGCCTTTCATACCAATATGGAAGACTTCAACTCTACTACTGAAGCCTGAACCAGTCGTATCTCCTCGAAACAAGAGCATCCAAGCACTCTGCCTGAGCTTATCTGTTGTAGTTCTGCTTTCTGAACTCAGGTGGACCTTTAAAATACTTTTTTTCTTTCTTTCTTTTTTTTTTTTGAGTTGAAGATGTATCATGGATGGATCCAATCTCAGGGTTACGACTTTTTAAAACATAAAAAGTTCTTGAAAGATATTCTTCAGATTTTAATTTCTGGTTTAAAGTGGATCCCAACATTGGTTTTCGGTGCTCCAATACGTATTTGAAGTGGGGGTGGACATTCCTCCCCGGCCCTTGTACACTGTTAGCCTGACTGCAGAGAGCAGGAAGAAACCTGACTAAGAGACAGCAGAGGACTGTGGAGTCACCACCTCTCCCTGGGTATCTGTTCTTTCCTCTGGCCAACCTGTCAGTCAAGACGCTCCAACTACACAGCTCAAGTTCCACATGAACAGCGGTGTTTTCTTTCCTTTTCTCCTCCTACCCCATCTGAAGCCTCACATCCCTGTATAACACTCCAGAGAAATTTAGAACATGGGAGCTATTTCTAGACATTTTTTCAGAGAGCATAGAAAACTCCAAGCCAATGTTTCCTTTTTGTTCAGATTTAGGGACTGTGCTAATCTGGATATTTTATGTAGAGAGACTATCTCAAATGTTTCTACACACATCTATTTCCTCCTTCCAACCCAGGAAAAACAAGCTGAGTATGATTTTCCAGGCCACAAAATCAGAAAGCACCCTGATGCTGAGTCATGATGACACTTGGCCATCCTGAGCAAAAGCAGGTGACTGTGAGGTCTGTCTCATCACTCTGCCCTCTCAGCCACTGTTAAACCTTGAGCTGGAGGTGACTTGTTTTCACTACTGTGGGGCCACAAAAGTCCAGTACCAGGATCTTTCCTGGGCTCACAGTGCCCTGTGCCACTTGACATGGCATCTGTGCTGCAAAGCTAATGACCCACAAAGTCGCCACCAAAAGATGCCATTAAGGAACCGACCTCAAGGATGACTCCTACAATGGCAGTGAGATCCAATCAACTACAGTCACTAATAAAGCTCCACTGACCCTAACCAAAGGCACATTTGGTAAGCAGTAAGAAATGGCTTAGCTTAAATGAGGATCTTTCTTTCAAAATAAACCTTAGACCATCCCCTGGCTCCTACCAAATACAAACTCAAAAACTAAAGGAAGCAAAGCTCCTCTTTCAGAGCAGCCGTTTCCAACTTGCTTTTCAACTTGGCCAACTACAAAAAAAAAAAGGGAGTGAAGGCAAAGGTGGCCAGACTCTAGGTAGCACTGGTGTCAGGGCTGGTGTCAAAGGTGGGGTGGGGGGCAGGGTGGAGCCAGGGTGGACCCGAGGACCTCTGGGGAAGAACAGGTAGAGAGTAACACTGCGTGCAATGGACCTGGGTGGGAAGTCTGAGGGCTGGGCTGCTGCACGCTCCCTCTGGGCAGCAAGTTACCCTATTAAGAGCTCGGGCTAAGCCCTAGACAAATCCTCCAGGAAGAAAAGAAGAACCTCTTTTGGCTATTTGTTTATATCCGAAGAGAAGCCCCAAGAGCCAGCCTTCATAACAGGGTTAGATATAAACGTAATAAACGTAATTACTTAGCGATCACATTGTGAAATGAGACGATAAATCAACAGCTTCAATTTGGAGCTTATTTCAGGTCTAGAACTTCTGGCCAAGGCTGTGTGGGAGAGGTCGGCCCCTCTTCAAACCCTGTGGTTTCAGCAGTGATCTGCAGGTCCTTGGGAAGGCACTATGATGGAGGAGAGCAAGGGCTGCTTTTTGTGCTTCTCTGTTGTTGATGCTTGTTTTAATTTTCATTTTTCGGAGGTGGAAATACTTCCTGTGACAGTCAGCTCTTCCTTACTTCTCGTTGCTCATACAAGCAGTCCCATTCGAGTGACTTTGGCAGATAAGAATGTGTGCAACACGAATACAATCGGCTTTGGACAAGAATGCAGGTCCACAGTCTGTGGAGAAAAGACATGAATATTGACTATAATTAACACACACTTTAATAAACAAAGGCATTAAGTAAATTTAGATATGATGTTCCACTTTTTTCTTCCTTTTTGGTTTTTTGAGACAGGGTTTTCTGTGCAGCCCTGGCTGGCCTGGAACTCACAGAGATCCGCCTGCCTCTGCCTCCTAAGTGTTGGGATCAAAGGTGTGTGCCACCCCGCCGCCGGCTCCACTTCTATATTTTTTTTTTTTTTTAAAGATTTATTTATTTATTATATATACAGTGTTCTGTCTGCACGTATCTCTGCAGGCCAGAAGAGGGCACCAGATCTCATTACAGATGGTTGTGAGCCACCATGTGGTTGCTGGGAATTGAACTCAGGACCTCTGGAAGAGCAGTCAGTGCTCTTAACCTCTGAGCCATCTCTCCAGCCCCAACTTCTATATTTTTTAATGCAGTCTCTTGTAGCCCAGGTGAGCCTCAAATTTATTGCATAACTGTGGATGACCCTGAATTCCAGGTCTGCTTGCCTGGATTTCCAAGGTGCTGAGTTATAGGGATGTGACTCCATGCCCAGATTTATGTGGTGCAGGAGATCACAGAGCTTTGTGCATGCTAGGCAAGCACTCTATTAACTGAGCTACATTTCAATGCCTAAATTACATTTCTTTTTTTTTAACATTTTATAAAATCTTTATTGACAAATAATTCACATAGTATACAATTTGCCTGTTTGCACAATTTGATAGACTTTAGTCCAGCATCCTCATAGGCCCATGACACCATCACCACTTTCTATTTTAGAACATCGCTGTCTTCAATTTCATACACACATATAATGTATGGTGGTTACATTCCACCTTATTTTTTTAAGTTAACATAACATTTGCAATTATAACCATTTTTAAGTTCACAATTCAGTGGCATGAATTACATTCAAGATATTAATTACACTTATGATATTCATTACTAAATTACATTTCTTTATTGTGAGTGTATACTTGTGCATGTGTGTGTGCATGTGTTTGTGTATAAGTGAGCACACGAGTGCCACAGCACATGTGTCAAAAGACAGCTTATGAAGTTGGTTCTTTCCTTCTAGCATGTGAGTCCTAGGAATCCATCATAGGTCATGAGATTTGGTGGCAATCGCCTTTACTTGCTTAACCACCTCTATGGCTCTTTCCATGCCCTTTTTTGAACAGGGTCTCTCACTGGCCTGGAACTTGGCACTTAAGCTAGGCTGGATGGCCAACAAGGCCAGGGATCCATCCATCTTTGCCTCCCCAATGCTGGAATCACAAATGTATGCTACACATCCAGCTTCTTTAATGTAGATTTTTTTGGAGGGATTGAACTCAGGTCCTCACACATGTAGAGCAAACACATCACTCTCTCCCCAGTTCTTAGACAAAACTTAAAAAAAAAAGAGGCCTGGAGAGATGGCTCAGAGGTTAAGAGCACTGACTGCTTTTCCAGATGTCCTGAGTTCAATTCCCAGCAACCACATGGTGGCTTACAACCATCTATAATGAGATCTGGTGCCCTCTTCTGGCCTGCAGTCATACATGCTGTATACATAAATAATAAATCTTAAAAAAAAAAACTTTAAAAAAAGAGATTGGTTTCCTAACGTGGGGAAAAGAAAACAAAATCCAATCCCATTGGGGGGTGGTGGTGGTGCAAGCCTTTAGTCCTAGTACTCAGGAGGCAGAGACAGGTAGATCTCTGAGTTTGAAGCTAGCCTGGTCTATAGAGTCCAGGACAGTCAGGGCTACACAGAGAAACTCTGTCTTACAAACAAACAACAAAAACAAAACCAACCCAATCCCAGCGCCATCCCGAAAACCAGTAAACAATGATGTCCTAGCTCTGATGGAAGGTCAAATGTTAGGCCACAGGAGGTTAGAAGCTGCAGAGGGCTGGGGATGCTGCTCAGTAGTAAATAAAGCACTGCTCGGCATGCAGAGGCCTTGGATTCAACATCCAGCAACAGAAAGGGAAGCAAGCAAGCAAACAACTGAGGAGCATGTGAAAGACAGAGACGACTGGAGCAGGGCGGCGTCCAATGGACATGCTCATGGTTTTCACAAGATTCTCACCAGTTCTCCCTCAGGACCACCAAAATCCAGATAGAGGTTTCTGATGCCGTCATCAGCAGACATCTTCAGCCGTTCAAAAGGATAGCGGTACAGTATGCTGCTGGAACCTCCATTGTCTCTGGAGATAGTGAACCCATGTTCGTAGTGGACAGTGAATCTTACCTCCTGGCCACTTAAGGTGCAGCCTATCAAAGATAAGAAAAACTCATATGTAATACAGATCCTGTTTTAGTTACCAAATAGAAAAGGATTCTTCTAGTTTCAAACAAGAAAAACAATCTTTTCTTGAGAATATGAGGCCTAAGCTGCTTAAAATTTCCTAAAATAAGTGTCTTTAAAGATTTATTACTCTGCACTCACTTTGACAGCACAAATTCTAAAACTGGAATGATCCAGGGAGGATCAGTAGGACCCCCTGGAGATTCACCAAGCAGCACGTATTTTTAAAAGGCCGATTATTACCATTTCTATTGAACTAAGACAGGATTCAATGTACCCCAGGCTGGCCGTAATTATGCACTTACTCCTCCTGTCTTCCTGCTTGGGTATTCTAAGTGTTGGAATTAGAAGCATGGGCTACAAAGCCAGGCTGAGATTTCTTTCTTTTTGAGACAGGATCCTCCTATGCAGCCCTGGATAGCCTGGAACTTGATATGTAGACCAGGCTGACCTTGAACTCATAGGAATCCACCTGCCTCTGCCTCCAGCATGCAGGGATTAAAGGCATGTACTACCACACCTGGTATTATATTTAACTGTATGTGTATATATCTGTGTGGGTGTATGTGCATGTGAATGCAGGGGTCCAAAGAGACCTGGAGTCCCCTTGGAGTTGGAGTTACAGTTGATTGTGAGTTATCTGACTTGGGTACTGGGAATTGAACTTGGGTCCTTTGCAAGAGCATCTTGACTGAGATGAGACAACGTACAGCCTAACTTTCCTTGACCTCTGTTTGACTCAGTTCAACTGGATATGAACTGCATGTGTTAGGATTCTGCTGCTTCTCTGGCTGTATGACCGCATATGCGCAGTTCAGTACCTAAGCAAGGGGTCTTACATCTTATATCATCAGTGTACTGTGTGATCACTTACACAATCTCGCTGATTCATACCTGTCGTAGCTCCGTAAGCCCACCTGCGCACGTGCACGGGAATCCTTAAAAAGCCGGACACAGACTCCACCTCCCCTTCTGCTCCCCCCTCCACTCTCTCTCTTTCTGCACGTGCCTCTTCCCAGGCCCGGTTACTCTTTTCTGTCCCCCCTTTCCTCCTAATAAAGCTCTGATACTGGGTTTTGTTGTGTCTCATGACCTTTTCGCCCGGTAACAGTGCCGCTTATTGTTTTGAAAACTACAGTATGTAGTGAGGGGGAGACAAAGAGGGATTTCTCTGTTCTCAAAAAGACTTTACAAATCCCTAACTATACAAGGTAGAATGTATAAGACACAATTACACTCGAAACTGAGCTAAGGTTCAAGTCAGGAAAGGTTTCTAGGGTGCACGCCTTTAATCCCAGCATTTGGGAGGCAGAGGCAGGTGGATCTCTGTGAGTTTGAGGCCAGACTGTTACACAGAGCGAGATCCAGGACAGGCACCAAAACTACATGGAGAAACCCTGTCTCAAAAAACCCAAAAAAAAAAGTTTATGACCAGCAAGAGTCATGAGGTCGATGCTTTCAAAGGGGTTGGGGATGTAGCGCAGTGGTAGAGTGCTCATCTAGCTGGAAATGAGGCCCTAAGTTTAATCCTTAGTACCACAGAGACTAGAACAAAACAAATACTGCAGCCCCACCCCCCAAAACAAAGATGGGCTTGCCACCAAACCTGTTTTATCCCCAGACCCACATGGTGAAGGGAGAGGACAGACTCACAAATGTAACACATGCCCGCACACTCTCACAGGCTAATGTAACAAAAAAAAAAAAAAAAAAAAAAAAAAAAAAAAAAAAATTAAAAGCGCAACCAGCCAAAGATCATGTGAGTTGACAGAAACTCTGATCACTGGGTATGGGGACACATGCCTTTAATCTCAGCACTTAACTAAAAACAGACTGGGGAATCATCGACCTAAGGCTAGCCTGGGTTACAGAGTGACACCTAAAGGTTAGAGCTGAGCTTTGCTTCCATTTTAAAAAGAACGGCTCTTGAAGCAGGTCATCACATGTAACCAACATATTCTCTCTCTGGATAGGCAAAAACTCCAATTGGTTAATGCAGCTGTGTGTTTAGGAAACTGGTACAAAGAAAAACAGATAAATATTGGTGGTGTCCTTCTCTGCACTATTTGATGAGTTTTGGACAACAAACTAGCAGTTATCCTCAGAGGAGGAACCTAGTGGCTAAGGAGTAAACATGGATGCAATCAGCTTCCAGTAGTAGTAGTCCATGCACTTTCTCTAAATGAAAGGCTGAGGGAGAGGTGGGTAAAAGCACGCCCTAACCAAAGCACCCAGATTACAGTCCTATTAACATCTCTAAAGCCAGTGTGTAGTGAAGGGCTGGGTCTAAAGGGGAGCGGGTTAGTTCTAATCTAGAAAAGTTCAAAGATGGCCCAAGTTCTTACAGTCCTGGCTGTACAAGGTGCCATGCAGGCAGCTGAGTGAGGCAGTGAGTGAGGGCCAGTCACAGTGGAAGGCAAGCCATCAACAATGGGCTGGTGGGAGAGTTCTCTCACATGGTAGTGTTGCAGAATATTATTTTAAGGTGTGTTACTTTTGTTTATGTTGCATTTGTTTAACTCTGTGAAGCTGTGTTACTGTGTCTGTCTAAAACACCTGGTAGTCTAATAAAGAACTGGCCAATAGCAAGGCAGAAGAAAAGATGGGCGGGGCTGGCAGGCAAAGAGAATATATAGAAGAAATATGGGAGAAAAGAAGTAGCCAGAGAAAGAGGAGGACTCCAGAGGTCACACAAGCAAGCCACGGAGTAAGAATAAGATTTACAGAAGTAAGTGAACGGGAAAAGCCCAGAGGCAAAAGGTAGATGGGATAATTTAAGTTAAGGAAAGCTGGCTAGAAACAAGCCAAGCTAAGGCCAAGTGTTTATAATTAAGAATAAGCCGGGGCTGGAGAGATGGCTCAGAGGTTAAGAGCATTGGCTACTCTTCCAGAGGTCCTGAGTTCAATTCCCAGCAACCACATGGTGGCTCACAACCATCTATAATGAGATCTGGTGCCCTCTTCTGGCCTGCAGTCATATATGCTGTATACATAATAAATAAATAAAACTTAAAAAAAAATCCTTAAAAAAAAAAAAAGCCTCCGGGGCTTAACCCGGAGATGACTCAGTGGTTAAGAACACTAGACTAGATGTTCTTCCAGAGGATCAGGGTTCAATTCCCAGCACCCATATGGCAGCTCACAACTGTCTCTAATTCCAGTTCCAGGGGATCTGACATCTTCATACCAACACACATAAAATAAAGTTAAATAAATTATTAAAAAACAAACAACCAGCTGGGCGGTGGTGGCGTACGCCTTTAATCCCAGCACTCGGGAGGCAGAGGCAGGCGGATCTTTGTGAGTTCGAGGCCAACCTGGTCTCCAAAGCGAGTTCCAGGAAAGGCGCAAAGCTACACAGAGAAACCCTGTCTCGAAAAACCAAAAAAAAAAAAAAAAAACCAAAAACAAACAAACAAACAAAAAAAAACAACAAACAACCAAGTATTTTTTTTTTTTTTTTTTTTTTTTTTTTTTTTTTTTTTTTTTGGTTTTTCGAGACAGGGTTTCTCTGTGTAGCTTTGCGCCTTTCCTGGAACTCGCTTTGGAGACCAGGCTGGCCTAGAACTCACAGAGATCCGCCTGGCTCTGCCTCCCGAGTGCTGGGATTAAAGGCGTGCGCCACCACCGCCCGGCTCAAGTATTTTTTTTTAAAAAAAATAAGCCTCCATGTGTGATTTATTTGGAAGCTGGGTAGTGGTCCCCCAAAGGAGCAAAAACAAACAACAATATGGTAGTCAAGTACTGAGCTACATTCCCAGGCCCTGAGATTTTTCACATGTTCTATTTTGAACTGTGTTACCTCAAGAGGTAAGAAAATGAAAGCAAACACTTATGTGAGAAGAGGTACTTTGAAAAACACTATCTTTTCTTTTCTTTTTTTCCTTTTCCCAAGACAGGGTTTCTCTGTGTAGCCCTGGCTGTCCTGGAACTCACTTTGTAGACCAGGCTGGCCTCAAACTCAGATATCGCCTGCCTCTGCCTCCGCCTCCAGATAGGCTGAGTCACCACTGCCTGGCTGAAAAACAGAATCTTGTTTATGGTTGCTTCAACCTTGAAAAGGAGCAGGAAGATCATATGAATGTTCAGGTCTAGACTAGACACAGGGCATTTATTTTGTGGTATGTGGGACACACACACACACAGTGGGCATGTATAGTCACAGGACAAGTTTGGGAGTTGGCCCCCTCACTCTACCAATTGGATATTGGAATTGCATTCAGGTTGTCACGGATTCTCATACACACACTGAGCCATCTCACTAGCCCTATTTTTTTTTTTCCTTTTTTTTTTTTTAAGATTTATTTATTTATTATACATACAGTATTCTGTCTGTCTGCATGTGTCCCTGCAGGCCAGAAGAGGGCACCAGATCTCATTACAGGTGGTTATGAGCCACCATGTGGTTGCTGGGAATTGAACTCAGGACCTCTGAAAGAACAGTCAGTGCTCTTAACCACTAAGCCATCTCTCCAGCCCTCACTAGCCCTATTTTATTTTATATTTTTTGTTTCATTTATTTTTATTTTATGTAGATAAGTGTTTTGTCTGCATTTATGTCTGTGTACCATGTATATGCCTGGTGTCCAGAAGGTGTATATGCCTGGTGTCCAGAAGGTGGAATCGGATCCCCTGTGACTGGAATTACAGATAGTTGTGAGACTCCTTGTGGGTGCTGGGAATTAAACTGATAACTTCTGGAAGAGCAGTCAGTGCTCTTAACCACTGAGCTATCTCTCTAGCCCCTTATTTATTTAACTTTAGAGACAGTCTTAGTGTGGCTCAGGGAGAAGGATCAGGAGTACTGGATATATAGGAAGTTCAAGACCAGCATGGTTTTAGAACAACCTACCTCAAAAAACAAAACAAAATACATTTTAGTTTATTTAAAAAAAAAAAAAAAAGGCATTGTGGGGCCAGGCTTGACACAAGTTAGAGTCATTAGAGAGGAAGGAGCCTTAACTGAGAAAATGCCTCCATAAGATCAGGTCTAATGATAAGCAAGTCCGTAGTGCATTATCTTAGTGATTGATAGGAAAGGGCCCAGTCCATGGTGGGTGGTGCCATCCCTGGGCTGGGTTCTATAAGAATGCAGGCTGAGGAAACCATGATGAGCAAGCCAGTAAGCAGCACCCTTCTATGGCTTCTGATCAGCTCCTGCCTCCAGGTTCCTGCCCTGCTTGAGTTCCTGCCCTCACAGATTTCAATGATGAACTGATACATGGATCTGTGAGTGAAACAAACCCTTTCCTCCCCAAGTTGTTTTTGGTCATGGTTGCATCACAGCAACAGTAACACTAACTAAGACAAGGACTATTTAGGGGAGAGAAGAGGAACAGTATGGGTACAAGTGAGTGTAATGGGGGATGAATATGAGCAAAACATAGTGATATGCATGTATGAAAGTGTTATAATGAGTAGGTGGGGAGAGAACTCAGTAATTAAGAGCACTGGCTGCTCTTGTTTCTATCCCAGCATCCATATAGTAGCTCACAACTGTCTGTGACTCCAGTTCCAGGTTATTCAACACCTTCTTCTGGCTTCCATGGGCACTGCATCCATGTGGTGCACATACATACATGTAGGCAAAACACTCAGTTAAATGTTATATGAAATCTATTAACTTTTTTTTTTTTTTTGGAGACAGGGTTGCTTTGTAGCCTTGTAGCCTTCCTGGAACTCACTCTGTAGACGAGGCTGGCCTTGAACTCACAGAGATCCGCCTGCCTCTGCCTTCCAAGTGCTGAGATTAAAGTCATGCACCATCACTGCCCAGTGAAATCTATTAATTTGTATGTTTGTTAAAAAACTAAAAACATGTGGGCTGGAGAGACAGCTTAGGGGTTGAGAGCACTGGCTGCTCTTCCAGAGGACCCAGGTTCAATTCCCAGCATCCACATGGCAGCTCACAACTGTCTGTAACTCCAGTTCCAGGGGACCCAACACCCTTACACAGACATACAAAACACCAAAGCACATAAAAATAAACAGATCTTTTAAAAAATTAAAACATTTAATTTAGTCTTGGTGGACACTGCTAACCTCAGTCTAATCCATGCCAGCTGGTATTATTCCCAGTCCTCTCCCTGACACACTCTTGTGTCCATGGCACTCACCATCCCCACAAATCTGGGTTTCCTTCCACTGATTTGGTCACTGTGTCTTAAACTCATGAAGGGACATTGGCTTTTTCACATCATATGGGGAATTACTGAATAGAAAGTCACACCTTTTAAAAGTAACTTTTTTTTTTTCCAAGATAGGGTTTCTCTGTGTAGTCCTGGCTGTCTTGGAACTAGCTCTGTAGACCAGGCTGGCTTTGAACTCAGAGATTTGCCTGCCTCTGCCTCAGACTAAAGGGCTGTGCCACCACTGCCTGCTTTAAAGGTTAACTTCTAAAGATGTCCCTAATATCAACACACTTTAGTAAAGTCAGGAGGAGAAGAGATTTATTCACTAAGGGGTCAATCAGTGTTATACTGAAATGAATGTAAGCATGTTACCTACTTTGTACCTTTATGTGTATGTGTGGGTGCATGCACAGGTGCATGTGTGTAGAGGGCAGAGGACAGACCTTGGAAATTGTTCCTCCCCAGTTTCTATCCATCTTTTTTTTTTTTTTTTTTTTTTTAAGAAAAAAGAAAGGTCTCTTGTTGGTCTGGCCACTGAGTCCAGGGATCCTTCTTTACCTTCCCGGCACTGGAGCTACACACGAGTCAGCACAGCTGGATTTAGATGTAGACGTGAGTTCTAGGGATTGAACTTGGGTCTCCATGCTGTGTGGCAAGCACTTTTTCCCAGCCCATGTCTTTTTATTTATTCTTTCAGTAGTGCTGAAGACTGAATCTCAGACCCCTACATGGTACCACTGAGCTCCACTTCCTACAACCAAAGACTGGTATTATTAAGAGGGTGAAGACCTAATGATACAGATGTTTTATGCCACAAATCCTGCTTCTACTCTACTCTGGGATCAGTTACTTTGTTAACTTGTAGTTCTAGAGAGTTTCAATGTCTCTGGAAAGTTCGTTGACCTGACCTTACAGCAGAACAGGAGACAGAGAGTGAGAATGAAGCAGGGAGATGGGAGGGGTAGAGAGAGAGAGAGAGAGAGAGAGAGAGAGAGAGAGAGAGAGAGAGAGAGAGACAGAGAGAGAGAGACAGAGACAGAGACAGAGACAGAGACAGAGACAGACAGACACTGAGACTGATCCAACCTCTTTTGAGAATTTCAGGGCAACTTTGAAGGGAGCAGATCCCTAGAACTGTGTCAGAGAAAGGCTGGGGTAGCACTCCTGCTCAACGGTGTAAGAAAAGAAGCCACCCTATTAAGTCTAATCAACAAGCTAATTACAGAATCTAATAGGACATTGCACTCTTCTCACAGCTTTTAGTCAAGGACAGGAAATAAGGGCTTATTTACTTTTATCTCTCTCATTAAAAAGCATAGCTCTTGGTAAATACTAAAGCACACAGCAAATATTTGCTCATTTAATGACTGAAGGGGATCCACACTGCATATCTTCCAGCACTGAATCCAGGCGTGAGTACGAGTCATCTGGAGAGACGGAGGGGAAGAAAGCACGGGCACTCTAAAAGAGCTGCGACTCAAGTCCCAGCCACACCGACCCTAGCCTTTGTGAAACAGAAAGGCACACTGAAATTAAACCTGTGTGCTTCGAGTGTACGTGAACCACCACCAGGTTCCTGGGGACTGGCCACCAGGGGGCGCTTCCACAGTGGAACACAACACCAGCAGGGACTAGCCACCAGGGGGCGCTTCCATAGAGGAGACATGGCAACCAGCTCCTTGAAGTACTAAGAGTGTTGACAGACTATTTTCAAACCTTTGAAGAGAAACTCCTGTTCCAAACACTTCATTTTCTGTAGCTACAATATCGCCAGATGCTTGTATTTAAGGGTGTCTAGCCATACCTTAGATGCCAAATCTTCTTATCGATAGTCAGTGCATCTAATTTTTACTGCCTGGGTTCTTATGCTATTAAATGTAGATTAAAATGATGAACAGTAAAAAAGCCACATAGTAGTAGGGTTCTTTTTTTTTTTTTTTTTTTTTTTTTTTTTTTTTTTTTAAATATTTACTTTTATTTCATTTGCATTGGTGCTTTGCCTGCATATATGTCTGTATGAGGGTGTTGGATCTCCTGGAACAGGAGTTACAGACAGTTGTGAGCTGCCGCGTGGGTGCTGGGAATTGAACCCGGGTCCTATGGAAGAGCAGTCAGTGCTCTTAACCACTGAGCCATCACTCCAGCCCCCGTAGTAGGGTTCTTAATGCCATGTGGCAAGGAAGGGAAAGCTCTGCCAGTGAGACTGACACCAGATTTCTTCCCACCATCACCACTTGAGCTACCTAATGTTTTAACACAGTTTACAGTCGGCACACACAATGGTGGTTTTACTTTAGAGCTGAGCAGTCCCATTTAATTAATGTCAGAGGCCAGGAGGGATGGTTCAGCTTTTAAAGGCACATACTTCAGTCTTCTGAAGGATTCCAGTTTGGTTCCCAGCACCCACAGAAGCAAATCCTGTCTCTTCAGCTGTCCCTTTTTTGGTCTCCAGGGGCACCTGCACACACATGGCACATATACACAAACACATGCCCACACACATTAATAAAAACAAATCCTGAAAGGTACTATAATTACTGTTAGAAATCCAGGGTCAGGGCCAGGAATGTAGTATATACCTGTAACCACAGTACTGGGAAAGCAGAACAGGAGGATCAAGAGTTCAAGGTCATCCTCTCATCCTTGCCACATACTGAGTTCAGTCCAGGATAGGCTATGTGAGGCCCTGTTGCAAACAAACAAACAAACAGACAGACAGACAGAAACAAACTCAAGTATCTCTACCTAGGGAGACTTCCTTGACCAGCTCAGCAGCAGCATGACAACCTTGAACAAGTATTCTGGTCCAGGTCGACAAATCCCGATGTGTTTCAACCCTGAAGAGATGCATCTCAATGCCCTGCCGAGAGCCCGTCCTTGTAGCAAAGGTAAGGTCAGATCCAAGGGAGGGTGATCGACATCCAGAACCTGAATGAACCAATCTAGGACCACAAATAGAACAGAGAGCTAAAGTAATTACTGGAAGAAAATGTCAGGAATTTATGCCCATTGGTAAGCAGAAACTTATAAAAAACCTTCAGCAGTTTTTAGATAAATGCATTTCAAAACCAGATTGTGATATTTTGAAGTAGATACTATTCTTTAATCCTAGAATTCAATCCAGAATAATCCCTGGTGTCACAGGAGGCAGGATATTACTTACTCTCTTCATTTAAAAACAAAAAAACCCAAAAAACAAAAAAACCTACCAACAGAAAAGGAGATACAGAAAATTCTGCCAGGAGCTGGAGAGCTGACTCAGGTTAAGAGCATTTGCTGCTCTTCCAGAGGACCTGGGTTTGATACTAACTATCTCCAACACCTCTTCTGGTCTCCATAGGTACCAGGTACACACATGGTGCATGGACATACATGCAGGCAAAACATTCATATACAAAAAACAAACAAACAAATAAAAAACAAAGCCCAAAGAACAAGAAAAGAAAAGAAGGAAGGAAGGAAGGAAGGAAAGAAAGAAAAAGAAAGAAAGAAAGAAAAAGAAAGAAAGAAAAGAAAAAAGAAAAGAAAAGAAATGAAATTCATCCAAATGTAGTGGTTTATGCCTGTAATGTCAACACTCGGGCAGTTGAGGCAGGAGGATTCTAAGTTTTAAACCAGCCCGAGGTACAGAGAGTGACCTCTCAGAACGAAACAAAACACCATACAAAATTGCAACCACAGCATATTCCACTCAGTGGACTAGAAAAGGAAGTCCTGAGCTGGAGAGGTGGCTCAGAGGTTAAGAGCATTGACTGTTCTTCCAGAGGTCCTTCCTGAGTTAAATTCACAGCAACCACATGGTGGCTCATGACCATCTATAATTCAAACTTGTGCCTTCTTCTGGCATGTAGGCAGAACACTGTATTCATAATAAATAAATAAATCTTTAAAAAAGGGAAGTTCTATGATTATCTACCATATGGATAAACTTTGAGGATTTTATGTTAAATGAAATAAACAAGTCACAAAAAAATCCAACATGCACATGGTTCAACTTATATGCAGCACCCAACCTGATCCAGAATTATAATTTTTCTTGAAAACTAGAATTTTATCAGTGCAACAATTAGGACCAGTCCCCTCATCAGGTAACGGATACCTTTGGACATTTTAGAGGAGGCTCCTAACAAACAGATCTGAGCACGGTGGCTTGCTAATCAGCCCTCTTCCAAGTGGAAACTGGCGGTTCATGAGGAAGAGCTCAAGGTCATCTCAGGACTCAATGACACAGATCTTTTTTCTTGAAACATGGATCAGATGTACTTCAGAATGAAGTACAGGTATTTTCTCAGCTCAATAGTTCCTATTTCATCATGTAGAACATTGAAAGGATAAATACTCACAGGTTGGGATGAAATAAAAGTGATAATTTGTGCTGGCAATGTGGCGTGTGGGGGTGTGAGCACCTGTCCCTATGTGGAGGACAGAAGGCATGTCAGGTGTCCTGTTCTATGATGGCCTGTTCTGTGGCCTTATTTCCTTCCTTGAGACAGGGTCTCTTACTGAATCTGGAGTGAGCCTGATGGCCAGAAAGTCCTAGCAATCCTCCTGCCTCAGCTCCCATAGCATTGGGGCTACAGGCACATGTGTGGGATGCCTGACTTTCTACCTGGGTGCTGGGACCAGAACTCACGTGTGCTTGAAACAAGCACTCTCACCCACTGAGCAAGCAATCTCTACCCCCAAACTGAGTGTTTACAACTTCAGTAAAGACATTTTAGAAGTAAACTCATTCCCCACCCGCAAAGGCCATTTAGGGAACACCAGGCCTACTGACACAGGTGTGTTCTGTGCATGTGATAGGTTGCCAATTGCCCTGAAACATGTAAAGGTATCAGCATTAACTTACCCCCAGGGCAACTGTCAGCACAGTGAAAACCACAAGTAACATTTCATAATTATACAATATTACTATGAGATACGTTTGAACTTACAGACTTGCCCTATGGAGTTACCCCGAGAACTGTGTTACTAAACCGATTCCTGCAGAACTTACATGCCAGGTGAACATGAGCGAGCTCAGAAAGCTTGAAGTTTTAAGATCACTCCACATATGATCCAAGTGAGATGGAGCTCAGAGGAAAGCGACAGAGTATTCTACCACACTCAGTTTGATTGCTAATCCATGTCAGACTTTACAAAACATCAATCTAGGAGGAGATTTTCCTCTGAGACGTGATTTTGAAATATTTGGCAGAGGGGATCTAATTCAAACCAGCTGCTGGACTTGGGGAGGAGCCATTGGTTAGGACACACTGCCAAATGCCCCCCACCCCCACTTTTGTGAGGAAGCCAAATAAGCTCATGAAAAGACGAGCTTTAGCAGTTTGGGCCATATCAGCCCCACAAGCTCAATACCACTCAATTGTCCATATGGTACAGGCGCCATGTTGTCCTTGGGTTCTGTCTCTCCCAGTCAAAGAGAAAGCTTACAGGAAAAGACTGCAAAATCCACAGCACCTAGGACATCAAGTCTTTCTGCCTGTGTTGTGTACCTAGCTTTGATATTAGGAAAGACCTAAAATAAAAATTCCCTTCAACACCTCCAGGCATTGCCAAAAATGTCATGTAGAACACACACACACACACACACACACACACACACACACACACACACACCCCCCAGAGTTTTGATTTCTAAGAATCTAAATGTGAGTCGGGCATGGTGGTGCACACCTTTAATCCCAGCACTCAGGAGGCAGAGGTAGGTGGATCTCTGTGAGTTCAAGGCCAGCCTGGTCTACAGAGTGAGTTCCAAGACAGCCAGGGCTACACAGAGAAACCCTGTCTTGAAAAACCAGAACCAATACCAAAACCAAAACCAAACCAAAACAACAACAACAAACCTAAATATGTATGTAATCCAACATAAACTGTAGCTGTTACTTTACACAAATCTAACAATGTTACTTGATCTTGAAATTTGACACATGATTAATTATTAATTTACCAGGGACTGGGGCTGGAGGGATGGCTTAGAGGTAAAAGCACTGAATGCTCTTCCAGAGGTCCTGAGTTCAATTCCCAGCACCCACGTGGTGGCTCACAACCATCTGTAATGAGATCTGGCACCCTCTTCTGTATACATAATAAATAAATAAATCTTTAAAAAAAATTTACCAGGGATTACTTATTTTTGTAGATAATCAAGATCTTTCTTTTCCTTTCCTATATGTTTCTGCTAGCTCTTTTCCTGTCTATTCATTTGAACCTGGAGCTCACTGATTCCAGTAGACTAACAGGCAGTGAGCTCCAGGGATCTGCCTGTCTCTGCCTCTCCAGGACTGGTTTTTTGCAGGGGTTCTGGGTATCCGAACTCAGGTCTCAATGCTTACACAGCAAGTACTTTACCAACTGAGTTGCTCCTCTTGGTGTCATTGTCTTGACGCTACTTGAAGCACAAACACTAACTCTTTACTCCTTTTCCTCATGTGGCATGTTTTCTTTTTCTTTCTTTTTTCACATAGGCTCTCATACAGCCCAGCCCAATCCTGAACTCCCGATTTCACTGTTTCTACCTCTCAAGTGCCAGGATTACAGGTACGTGCGGCCATGTTTGGCTTTGCATTTGTTTTCTTTTTTCTTTTTGTTTTTGTTTATTTTATTTATTTATTTTTTGAGACAGGGTTTCTCTGTGTAGTTTTGGTGCCTGTCCTGGATCTCGCTCTGTAGACCAGGCTGGCCTCGAACCCACAGAGATCTGCCTGGCTCTTCCTCTTGAGTGCTGGGATTAAAGGCACGTGCCACCACTGCCCAGCTGCATTTGTTTTTCATGTCAGACCTAAGGCGGCTCTGGGTAGACCTACTCCTTTAGATACACAACTGCCCCATTTTCCTTACCACTGGAGTCCTTTGATGAGCGACATCGAATGGATAGAAATTGCTTGTTTATGAGGTGACTGTAATCTCTAGCATTATGGAATGAAGGTTTATTTAGAGTGTTCTAAATCTTTGGGATACAAGTTAATTGGTCTAACTGTTAACTGTGGCAACATGTCCTTGTTTTTGTAGGATTCCTGTCCTGCTCTCAGTGCGAGCGAGACATAGTAGAGTAAGTGGGGCACTGTACACAAGCACCGTGGGACGTTCCCAGATGACATCATAGTTTTTGATGTCAGACTAGCTTTACTTCAGTGAGGGAATGGGTACTGACATTTACGTCTTCTACAAGATGCTTCTACCCTCAAGGAATTAAGGAAAGCACACCTTCCTGTTCTCAAGTTCAGGAGATGCTTTAACTCTACTCTGTAACTGAAACCCAGGAAAGCTCTATGACGATTTTAAAATCTACTTTCATGAAAAGAACGATGCCAGGCTGCACATGGAGGCCACACCTTTACTTCCAGTTCTTGGAAGGCAGAGGTAGGTGGATCTCTGAGTTCACGACTAGCCGGGCTAGATATTAAGTTCTAGGCCAGCTGAACCTACATAGTGAAACCCTGTCACAAAAGCAAATTTGCGGTTGTTCAGAACAGAAAACATTCAGTGTTCTCTATGGGGCATAGCACTTCCCTCTTTCACTACCAAGTACTTTTCTGAGCGGCTGCCCCATTTAATGAAACCACTAGATTACCTTCCACTTGCTCTTTCCATCAAGGGCAAATGGCAGTTCCAACAAAGCATCGCCAAGAGGCAGCTCCAGCTCAAGAGAGAACACAAACTTCTCGTGGATTGTTTACTGCACTGAGAGAAACTTGTAAATGAGTCCTAAAAGCGGTCTTGTGGGGCTTTTCAGTTACGCCAACACCCGACTCTAAAATCCGAGTAAAACTGAATTTGAGTATGTTCTAGTTGTAGTCACTGTCTTTTAAGACACCCCAAGTTCCCACCTCTCTATTGCTCTCCTGCCTAACTCCACAGGTTTGTGACAGTGGGAACATTCTGTGGCTTCAGGACAAAGCCGGGTTTATTGCCGTGTGCTCTGTTGTCGCAAAGATACTCTGGCTAAGTGGAGTGGCTTACCCACTTACCAGAGTCCGCTTGAAACGATCTCATCACCTACTCAAAAGGCTGCTACAATGTCAGCGGTCTTCTAGTCACAGTCAATAATACAGACAAACCAAACCACCCACACCCCACTACCTCCATGCTTAAGCACGCTTTAAAAGGAACAGCCACTCTTACCAATTTAAACAGCACACACACACACACACACACACACACACACACACACACACACACACACAGAGACACAAATACACACACAGACACACACACACACAGACACAGACAGACACACACAGACACAGACAGACACACACACAGACACACACACAGACACAGACAGACACACACAGACACACACACACAGAGACAGACACACACACACACACAGACACAGAGTGACTGAAGCAATTTATTCTGTTAAGAGCTGCAAAATGATGAGTTGGGGAAAAAATCATTTTGTCTACGTTAGCTTCTTAAATGCTATTTTAGGCACCAAAGGCAGTAGAATTCACTTTATAGTAGACTTAAGAGTATTTTTTTTTTCCTTTTGTCTTACCTTGTGGCAACTAGAGGGTAGCTATGACATGGCGATGCCCAGGCATCTCTTGTCCATGGCATACAATCATAAAGTAGCAGATCCTTCTCGGTCACAGCCATGAGAACAGGCCTCCACTGCTGTCTTCCACCATCTAGTTTTGCCTGTTACAACGGTGAGATCCAGAATCAGAGCTAACTATGAGAACGATGCACTTTCTGCAGAAGTGACTTGACCTAACACTGGGGGTCTTTGTTTTGCTCCCCACCCTAACAGATTTGAGATACAGAATCATCCCCATGAGGTTACTTCCATAGGTTGGTATTCCCCACTGGGAAGTGTGAAGTGGGGTATATCTGAAAAGTTAACAAGTCACAGGCATTATCCAGTGACATGACAATTTTACCCCATTCCTTAAAAACTGAGCATCTTGCCGGGCGGTGGTGGCGCATGCCTTTAATCCCAGCACTCGGGAGGCAGAGCCAGGCGGATCTCTGTGAGTTCGAGGCCAGCCTGGGCTACCAAGTAAGTCCCAGGAAAGGCGCAAAGCTTCACAGAGAAACCCTGTCTCGAAAAAACCAAAAAAAAAAAAAAAAAAAAAAAAAAAAAAACTGAGCATCTCCAATTCTAATTAATATACACTGTTATGTTCAAAATGTGTATGTCTAATGTATGGTATCTTTAAGAACAAGATGGAAACTCATGTCTTCTACTGGAGAATCTATATGTAATGTTTTGACTAAGATCTGCAGTAAGGAAGCTAAGTATGGTGTGGTTCATGCCTGTAATTTCAGCACTCAGGAGATAGAGGCAGGTAGATCACTGTGAATTCAAGTCTAGCCAGAGTTATATAGTGAGGCCTTGCCTCAAAAAACAAAACAAAAAATTCAACCTACAGTTAAGAAATACATTGATCGGGGCTGGAGAGATGGCTCAGTGGTTAAGAGCACTGGCTGCTCTTCCAGAGGACCCAGGTTCAGTTAGTTCCTAGCACCTCACAAGTATCTATAACTCCAGTTCCAGGGAATCTGATACCCTCATACAGACATACATGCAGGCAAAGCACCAATGTACATTAAAAAGAAATAAAAAGAAAGAAAGAAAGAAAAAGACAGACAGACATTGTTCGTTGCAACCCAACACAGAAAATGTATATTAATTAGTATTTTGAATATTTTATAACAATATATTTTAAAATAACACAATTCTGTATGTTGTAGAACTTACTATAGTAAATTATAGCCTATTTTGTTTCAAAAAATTGTTGACCATGGGTCAATGAGATGGTTCATCATTTAAAAAGTACTTGCCATATAAGCTTGACAACCTGAGTTTGATCCCTGGAGGCCATGGTGGATGGAAAAAACCAACTCCCAAAAGTTTTCCTCTGACCCCTCCACGCCTGCACTGTAGAATGCATAAGCCTGCACTCATACACACATACACATCAAATGCATACACAATAATAAGTATAAAAAAACTGGATTCGATGCAGTTTGTCTTTCTGATACTCTGATTTAAACAGGGGGCCTCATTCTAGGCAATGGCTATACTGTTGAACTCGGTCCCCAGTGCTACACTGTTATTTTGGAAAACATAAATGCTTTATTTAGGAAATACGTGTTTTGGCTTCAAATATACATATTTTTATCTGCAAAGAGCTCAGTTATCTAGGAAGTTTAAAATTCTAGGAAAATAACCACCTACTACTTATTCATATGTCAAGGATCCAGGGCCAAAATGGAAAGGACTATGATCAAGGGAAGTCCTGTCAAATCAAAACCCTGGTCCTCTGCAGATACGGCTGCTGAAGAGCACTGCATCTTACCCCTGCCCTCCAAGTCATCCCTGACTGCCTCCAGGAGAGCTCAAGCTGGTGAATCACTTGTCTCTTCGATAGCTGTCTTCAGAATCACTTTTTCTTTCTTTTCGTTAAGACTTCTGCAGGGGGCTGAAGAGATGGCTCAGTGGTTAAGAGCACTGGCCACTCCTCCAGAAGAGTTCAATTCTAACTCCAATTCCAGAGGATCCCAAAATGACCCCTTCTGGTCTTGTTGGCACCAGTCTTTCGTGTGGTGCAAAGATACAAACGTAGGTAAAACATCCAAACACATTAAATCAAACAAACCAAAAAACACAAAAAACTTCTGAAGGTAATTTGGATGTGGCAGAACATTTTAAAGACACACTTAGAATCTACAAGAGGCCTAAGTCATCTGGTTCTGTGTTGTCTTTTTTTTTTTGAGACAGGGTCTATGTAGACCAGGCTGGCCTCAAATTCATAGAGATCCACATGCCTCAGTGTCCCAATTGCCAAGATCAAAGGTGTGTACCACCATGCCTGGCATGTACTAAAAACATTTAACTCAGGGTCTCAGATTCTTTTGAGACAGGGTCTCACACTGTAGCCCTGGCTGGATTTGAACTCACAGAGATCTGCGTACCTCTGCCTTCTGAGTGCTGGAATTAAAGGGATGTGCCACCATACACCTTTGGGTCTCTTTTCTCCTAGCCAAAGCTACAGTCTGATTCCAGGAGTGGGAAATGAAATCTAGCCTGTGAGAGAACCAATGCACTCTAGTTTTCTAAGATTCTCATCTCTGGCTAGCTGCAATCTGGTGGAAGAATATCAGTTATCAGGCACAGTGGTGCATGCCTATAAGCCCAGCCAGCACCTAAGAAGTGAAGGCGGGAGCATTAGATCAGCTATTAAAGGTCGTTCTTGGCTACACAGAGTTCAAGCAAACCCTGCCTCAACAAACAGTGAGGGCCAGGGAGATGGCTCAGCATGGAGGGGTGCTCGCTGTCAATCCTACAATCTGAGTTCAATCCCCAAGACCCACGATGGTAGAGAGAACTTATTCCCTTAAAATGGCCCTTGACTTGCACACATATGTGTACATACACAAACACAGACATGATAGACAAATGTTAAAAAACAATGAAGAGAGAAAAGTCTGAGATTCTTACTTTTTTTGGATCATAAAGCCCCCAAAGAAATTTCTAGATTACTAGTACTAAGTGTGTCCCAAGATTGTTACGGATAATATTTAAATCATAGTAGGGAAGACATTGTCCAATTTATCTTTTCAAATAGTTAAACTGATACTAAGATTATTTTTCTCTACCTACCGTCTCAGGTGCCCAGGATGACCTGATACTTAGCTATGTAGTTGAGGATGACTTTGAACTTCTTATCCTGCTTCTACCTCCAGAGTACAGGACTATAGACAGTCATCACCATGCTGAGTTTACGTAGTGTTAGGGTTCGAACCCAAGGCTAAGCAAACACTACCAACTAAACTACATCCTAACTCCAAAATTCTTATTTATTTATTTTGGTTTTTGAGACAGGGTTTCTTTGTGTAGCTTTGGCTGTCCTGGAACAGAGATCCACCTGCTTCTGCCTCCAGAGTGCTGGGATTAAAGACATGTGCCGCCACCACCTGGTCAATAATCTTATTTTTTTTAATGAAAATTTCCATTGAGTTACAAGAATGAGATTTTGAAGGCTATTCCAGATCATATACATTTAGAAAATCTAAATTAAACGTATTTCTTCCCAAAAAAGGTACTTTAGGCCCTTAAAAGAAAATGTTACTATCAATAAGTAACGTCCAATTTCGAGATACAGAGAGAAAGAGAAAGAAGGGGGAGAAAACGTTTTGTTTAATTTACAATTTGTTAAAAGTGTTGATTCTTAGGACTAGAGAGAGGGTACAGTGGTTAAGAGCACTTACTGGTCTTGCAGAGGACCTTTGTTCAGTTCCTAGTCCACAACTCCCTAAGCAGCCAAAGGCCTTAAACTTCCTAATCTTCCCGCTTATACCTCAAGAGTACAGGTTTACAGGTGTGCCTGGTTTATATAGTACTGGGGATGGAACCCAGGGTTTTATGCATGCTAAGCAAACAATCTACCAACTGAGCTACATCGACAGCTATGAGCACTTAAGTTTTTTGAGACAGGACCTAATGTAGCCCAGGCTGGCCTAGAACTCACTCTGTATTAGAGGTTGCCCACGAAATCCCAATCCTTTTACCTCTACCTCCTGAGTGCTGAGATTACAGACATGAACAACCACACCCAACTTCAAGTCTGTAGTTTTAAAAACTGTTACAAATATTAGTGTGTGAGTATATATGTTGCCTATGAGCATGCCATAGGGCCAGTGTGGATACTTCCATTGCAGGTTCCATGCACTTTTATCCATCAAGCCATCTCACGAGCCCAAGCTCTTAATATTTATTTACTGATTTGAGACAGGGTCTTATGTAGCTTTGGGTATACTGGAATTCGCAATGTAGACTAGGCTGGACTTGATCTCACAGAGATCCACCACATGCCTTTGCTTCCTAAGTGCTGAGATTAAAGTCGTGCACCAGGCTCAAGTCCTTGGTTTTCAAAGAATACCTTTTTCTCTCTTCTGTTTGCTTATTTGCCTTAATGTTTAAGGATATTGTTTGTTTTCAGTAGAGTCAAAATGCTGCCTGTGTACACAGTATGTGTTTTCAGTTGTGGTATCAGCACAAAGAGCCCTGAGGTTCTATAACTAAGGTTCTAGCTAGAGAAAAAAAGGGGATACTAATGAGGGTTTCTGTTTGCTTGTATTTCTACATCCACACATATATACCTAGCCAAACATCAGCTTTTTCTAAATTTATTTTCTAATAAACAGGCAACACTAAATATTACTCAAAATATTAATATTTCTGAAACCCCATGATCCTATCAATCAATCTCTGTCTCTAAGCCTACAGATAAATGCCATGCTAGCTGATGGCTTGACTTTATCTTCATGAGATAGCCTTGGCTAGAATTACCCAGCTAAGGCCTTGAACCCATGAAACTGCATGAAGTCAATGTCTGTTATTTTAAGTCAGTAAATCTTTGAAACATTTGAGATCTAGAGGTGGGTAACTAACATTTCTTAGAGCCAGTCATTTTCTGGAGATTATTCTTCAGACAGAGAAATTCCCTAATCTCTAAACTCTCACCATCCAAACATCAGAACTGATATAAACGGAATTTTTTCCTTTTAATTTCTTTTATGTGTATGAGTGCTCTGCCTGCATTATGACTATGCATTTGCATGCCCACGGCATCAGATCTCCGGAAGCTGCCATGTGGGTGCTGGGAATCAAACCCAGTCTTCTGCAAGAGCAGCAAGAGCTCTTAACTATTGAGCCATCTCTCCAGTCCCTCCAAATCTTTAGAGAGGGGCTAACGAAGCAGACAGGTGAGCTTCTGTCCATTCCCCTTCTGCTTTCCACCTCTCCTGTCTCAAAACACTTCATTCAAGGTGGTGTATTTTGACAAAGTCAAAGGTTTTGAAAAAACATTTTTTTGTGTATATGGAGGTCAGAGGACAGTTTTGTGGAGCTGGCCATCGCCTACATTTATGAGGCTCTGAGGATTAAACTCAGGTCATCAGGCTTGGGCAGCAAACACTGAATCCACAGCCACTGCATGGGCCCTGGACGACAAAGTATGTATGTATGTACATGTATATATGTATGTATGTATTTTATTTATTTATTTGGTTTCTCTGTTTAACCCTACCTGTCCTGGAACTCAAAGGTCCTCCTGTCTCTGCTAGAATTAAAAGTGTGTGTGTGCCATTATACCCTTCTCCCAGATACAATCTTAGGGCCCAAATATATTCAGATAATATAGGTTCCCTTGTTATCTGATCCATGTGAGCAAAGACCATAAAGTTTAGATAATACATGTATGACAAGATAAGCTACAAGAATCTACTACAGTATTGTTTGTAATGATAAAATATTAGGACAACAAAGCTGAGAACATTCTTATTAGCTACAGAACGGAATATTTTACAGAATAAGGTAGCTCTCTATGTATTGTATGGGAAGCTCTCCAGACAGACTGTTTAAATAAAAAGAAAAAGGAATATGTAAGTTCTATATATGAGAAAAGGGGGCCAGCAAGTAGCTCAGTGGGTAAAGTACTCCATGAGCAAGCCTGGTGACCTGAGCTTGATCCCTAGAACCCACCAGAAGTGGGAGGACAACCTGACTTCACAGGCCGGGCCGTGGTGACGCACGCCTTTAATCCCAGCTCTCAGGAGGCAGAGGCAGGTGGATCTCTGTGAGTTCGAGGCCAGTCTGGTCTACAAAGAGAGTTCTAAGATAGCCAGGGCTGTTACACAGAGAAACCCTATCTCAAAACAAACAGACAGACAAAAGAAAAAAAAAAAAAACCCAACCAACCAACCAACCAACAACAAAAAAAGCCAAGCCTGACTCCACAAAGTTGTCCTTTATCCTCTGACCTCCACATGTTCTCTGTGGTATGTGCAGGCCCATGCTCACAAAGACACACACACATTTTTTTTTAAAAGGAAAAGACTATATACTCATATTTTTCTTTCATTTGCATAAAGAAAATATCTAAAGATTTACTAGGGAAAAGGACATGAATTAGGGTAATAGGAACAGTACAGTAAGTAATAAGGGCAAGAATTTTGTCTTTTTTTTTTTTTTTTGGTTTTTTGAGGCAGGGTTTCTCTGAGTGGCCCTTGCTCTGTCCCGGAAAACGCTCTGTCCCAGCTGACAGTGAGGGATGTAACTGAATCCCTGTGTGCTGAACCTGGGATCTAAGACTTGTGCTCTTCAGTTCTCCCTTCCCCTCATTTGGCATCTACTTAGGCTTTCGTGGCTCTTTTCTTTTCACTTTTCAGTTATGGACTAAATTGAATTTTGTTTAATGACTTGTAAAATATTTTATATATTTTCTTCCTCTGGTATTGGAGATTAGGCCTAGGACCTTGTATGTATCAGACAAGTGTTTTACAATGGAGTTTTATCTCCAACCCTATATTTTGTATATTTTAAGTTCTAAGGGACATAAACTAGAGACTATTGCCCGTGAGAACACTGCCAATAGTCTACAAAAAGAGTGGAGAAACTAGAACCTCTGAGTCAAAGGCACTCTTCAACCTGCTTTTGTAAAGTTTTAGTAAAACACAGTCCATTTATTCTCAGAATGTCTGAGACTTCTTGCTTGCTATTTCAGCAGAGTCAAAGCAGGTTGCTATGTGCTATTAATACACACAGTTCACTGACCCAGACACCCATTTAAAGATTATATTTGTGTGTTTGTGTTTTATGTTGTGTAGGTGGAGCATGAAGGATAGGAAAAAGTGTTGGATTCCTTAGAACAGGAGTTATAGGCAATCGTACAGCACAGCTTGTTATGAAGGAGCTGGTGTCTGAACTCTAGTCTTCATGATCGCACAGAAAACACTCTTAACCACTGAGACATCTCTCCGGGCTCTTGACTCTAGTCCTAAATCACAAAAGGCACCCCACGTTGTTTAGAGAGATGGTAACAGGAACCTCCTTGATGATACCACAAAGGTTAATTCTGCTGCTGGAGGTGATGATCAGAAATCAGTAGCTAAATTGTAGAAAGAGGGGAGGGAGGGGAAACAAAAGACAAACAGAAGAGTTGCAATGTGGCCATCCAGGAAGGGAGTGATACATAATCTACAGATGTATCTGTAGGCAGGCATGGTGGCACATGCCTTTAATCCAGTACTGCAGAAGCAGAGGCAGGTGGTTCTCTGTGAGTTCAAGGCCAGCCTGGTCTACATAGTGAGACCCTGTCTCTCTCTCTCTCTCTCTCTCTCTCTCTCTCTCTCTCTCTCTCTCTCACACACACACACACACACACACACACACACACACACACACACACACACACACACACACACACACACACACGGTGAGGACAGGGAGAGAGAGGGAGAAACAGAGTGAGAGAGAGAGAGATTATGTAAATAGGTATAGCTATAAATAGTCTAGATATATGCCACTAACTCTGAGTGGCGATGAGTAAAACCCGAGCTCTGCCTCCCACCTACCTGTTCTGCCAACCAGGCAATGTGCTTGACTTCCTTGCTGCCTCCCGCTGTACTGGTTGCACCAAGCATGGCATTGAGTTCAGCCAGTACCTGTGGGAGGAGAGCCATTATGTTGGTGTGGATAGCTACGAACCAGGAGTGTGCTGTGGCCGTATCTTTGCAGCGTAGGATCAAGGTGTTCCTGCTATCAGGAGAATGTAGCTCTATCAATCTGTATGGAGAGAGAAAAGAGAAAAATGAGCTAGGTTCCAAGTCATCACACCACCAGAGTTAACATACTAACTGCAAATCTAGTCTAATATTGTGATTTTTAAGTAGAGACACTTGAATTCCTCAGAGTCCAATCCCAGAGAAAACCACAAATGTTTGGATAATAATCGGGACTAATGGGTGGACTTGTTGTGCTGTGGGACACTTCACTTTGCCTTAATTTCCATGTCAAAGAAACAGAACTAGTGCCTGTTGGATACTGCAGGCAGGAACATCCCCCCACCCAGGAGCACACACACACACACACACACACACACACACACACACACACACACACACACACACACGTATATTATGGATATAAAAGACAGGGTTGTATGTATCCCATGTACTCTACATACTTGCTATGTAGCCAAGGATGACCGAGGATGACCCTGAATGCCCACTCCTCTGGCCTTCAGCTCTCAAGTGCTGGGATTACAGGTGAATTTTACCACACAAAGCTAAAAGAATTTTATATTTTAAAAATTAAAAAAAATATTTTAAAAATAATTAGGAGCTGGAGAGATGGCTCAGTGGTTAAGAGCACTTGCTGTTCTTCCAGTGGACTCAGTTTGAATCTCGGCACCTAAATTAGGGGGTTATATTGTTATATTTAATATATAAATTGCCTGTAACTTCAGCTCCAGGAGAGCCAATGTCTCTGGCCACTGTGGTCACCTATACTTATGTGAACACATACACACAAAAACACATATATAATTTTTTTAATTAGGTAATTCTGGTATGAGCCATAAAAGGCCTAACAATGAACTGAAATGCATATTGTCTGAAATAAAAGGATATTAGCAGGATATTACTTTTCTTTGTGAATATCATTCCTTATGAAAATTTGGAATTTTATTTACATATTTGAGACTGAGTCTCACTGTGGAGTCCTGGCTGGTGTGGAACTTGCTGTACAGACTCAACTGGCCCCAAACTCACAGAGACACACCTGTTTCTGCCTCCCGAGTGCTGGGATTAAAGACATGTGCTGCTGCTGCTGCTACTCCTCCACGTGGCTAAAGCTAACTTTCGATCAGCAGTTCCAAGGCTGGCCTCCACAGCTAACAGTCATATATTAATTAGGTATGCCCGCCCTACCCTTTAGTTCTACAGTGAAATCAAGGTCAAACTCAGGTCATTAGGTTGACATGCAGCAAGTACTTTTACAAGCTCAGTCATCTTGCTAGTCTACTTTTATTTTTGTTTTTACTTTTTCATCTTGCATTAAAAAATTTGGGGGGGTTATTGTTCAATTAATTTGTGCACGTGCACATATGCATGTGCACATGAGTGTGCCACAGTGTTGAGTGTGGAGGTCAGAGGATAACTTGTGGGAATCATTCTTCTTCTTCTTCTACCTTGTGAGTCCCAGGAATCCAATGGAGGTTGTCAGACTTGGTGACAGGCAGCTCTACCTACTGAGCCATCTTGCTGGCCCTACTTTTTATTATTTTGAGAGAAGTTCTCACTATTCAGCCCTGGTTGGCCTCAAATTCATGACAATCCTCCTAGGTGTTGGGATGGCAGGTCTGGACCACCATGCTGCCAGCTCCAAATACTTAATTTAAAGTTGTTATTTTACATGGCAAATGTTTATTCTCAAATTCTGCTTAGTCCGTACTTTCTTCTAAGATTTACTTGTATTTATGGTGTGTGGAGGTACCCATAGATGCCAGAAGAGGTCATCAGATGCCCTGGAACTGGAGTCCTAGGTGTGCTGGGAACTGAACTTGGGTCCTCTGCGAGAATAGCAATCACTCTCAAACACTGAGCCACCTCTCTAGGCCCCGATCTATCCTTCCTTAGATAAATATATTACTTGAGCCCCTACTAAATGACAGATATTGTGCTAGTATTGCAGAAACACAGACCAAAGGGGGGGAAAAATCCAGTCTCTACCCTAATTGAGCCTACAGTCTAACAGGGAGGGCAGAAAATGAACAGTAGATAAAACACAATTAATTACAGGTCACAGAAGATGTCATAAAGGACAGTTGGTCCTGGCTATTATGAAGACTGTGTCTTAAAAGACACTTCTGCCGGGCAGTGGTGGCGCACGCCTTTAACTTTAGTCCCAGCACTTGAGAGTCAGAGGAGGGCAGATCTCTGTGAGTTCCAGGCCAGCCAGGGCTACAGAGAAGCCCTGTCTTGAAAAACCAAAACAAACAAAAACCCAGACACTTGTACGGTAGTAAAGGGAAAGTAGGACTGCAGTGGAAACCTTCACACTTCTGGGCACACTTGCCAAACTGGCTCTAAGTGGTGAGATCATTTATAAACCTGGTACCTCCTCCAAGGAAGGGTTCTTTTTTTGTGTGTTTTTTTCAAGACAGGGTTTTTCTGTGTAGTCCTGGTACTCACTCTATAGACCAGGCTGGCCTTGAACTCAGAGATCCATCTGCTTCTGCTTCTGCTTCCTAAATGCTGGGATTAAAAGTATGTACCACCACCACTCGGCCTAAGGCGACTTTTTTTTTTTTTTTTTTTGTTTTGTTTTGTTTTGTTTTTTTTGGTTTTTCGAGACAGGGTTTCTCTGTGTAGCTTTGCGCCTTTCCTGGAACTCGCTTTGGAGACCAGGCTGGCCTCGAACTCACAGAGATCCGCCTGGCTCTGCCTCCCGAGTGCTGGGATTAAAGGCGTGCGCCACCACCACCCGGCTCTAAGGCGACTTTTTAAAAAGCTAATTCTAGAGCTGGTGAGATGGCTTAGCAGGTAAAGATATTGTTGCCAAGCCTAATGGTCTGATTTTGATCTGAAAACCCCCGATAGGAGAAAACACATTCCTGTAAGTTTTCCTCTGACTTCTACACATTCACTGTGTAGCATGCTCAAACTCAGATAAAAAAATTAATTAAAAAAATTAAAGAATAATCCTATAAGCTCAGAGAGCTCATGGCAACAAAATTTGGGAAGCTGGCAAACAGCCATAGGTCTTAGAAAAGTGGTCTCTGGGTTGGTTTTGTCACCTTGACACAAACTAGGGTCATCTACTAAGAGGGAACCTCAATTGTATCTCCAGATTGCCAATAGGCAAGTCTATGGGGCATTTTCTTGATTGATAATTGATGTGGAAGAGTCCAGCACTGTCACATCCCAGGCAGTGGTCCTGGGTTCTACAAGAAAGCAGGCTCAGCAAGCCATAGGAAGCAAGCCAGCAAGCTGCATCCCTCTACGGCATCTGCTTCAGTTCACGCCTTGAGTTGTTCTAACTCATCTCAGTGATGGAATATGACCAGAGAGTTCTAATATAGCATCAATTCTTTCCCCCAAGTTGCTTTTGGTTATAGTTTTTCATCACAGCAATAGAAACCCTAACTAAAAGGAGTGGAAGAGCCAAATCCCAGCCACTCTACCACATATCCCTAAATGGGTAGGGAATTGGTGGCAAGTTTATTTCTGAAAGTGAGACTAAAGCATGCACTACAAAGAGATGCCGGAGGACTGTGAGTTCCACACCAGCCTGGGTTACTTAGTGAGTTATATCTCAAAAGATAAAAACAGGAACTGGGAATGTGCCTCAGTTGAGTGTTTGACCTCAAAGTTCAATTCCCACCACCGCAAAGACAAAACCAAAACCAAAAAGGCCAAACAAAATCCACCCCCAAACAAAAATGCACCTATCGGAGCATCGTGGCTGCTGTGCTCAGGCAGCTAAGGCAAAATTGCAAGAAATTTGAGGCCAGCCTGGGCTATATAGTAAATTCTAAGACAGCCTACGATACACTGTGAAACTGTCTCAAACAAACAAACAAACAAACAAACAGAATTCTCCATACTCAGCGGCCAATGACTGCCAGGACTTCATCCCAGCAGAAGAGTCAGCCATTCTTATTCCCACCAAACTGGCTGGGAGAAGCAATTCTTAGTTCAGACTGCATGTCTTTAGGCTGACCATTTTCTAGAAGGGCTCATTTATTTCCACCCTCGTTGCTGTGTTACTGAGGCCAGCATAACATTCTTTAAACACATGCTCAAATTTACTGGCAAGAACCAGACAAGAAATTTCCTTCACTCCTCCTACTGACCTACTTAGCACTAAAGATAGAAATCAGTTCATCCTTCTTTAGGCACAAAACAATTACTTTCTGGGGAAGAAATAAAAAAACCTTTATACTGTATACAGTCCTGAGACAGTTTCTCAGATAGGTCATGGCAGTCATTGGCCACTGAGTATCCTATTAACACAGAATAGCTTTTAAAAATCCTGGTATTAGATCCTAATTATAAATAACTTGGAAGAATGAAAATAAATCTGCTATAAAATAAAACTAAGCCTGACTAATCAGGAGTGGACACTAATCAGGACATGAGGGCTCAAATGATGAAATGGGCTGGGAGTTGTTTTGTAGGTGGGATCATCAGCATTTATGAAGATTGTAGCTTCTTGGAAAAAGGCTATGGAAAAGTCAATGAAGAAAACAATCAACTCCCAAGCAGAACCGAGTCTAGGATCCAGAAGAGTCTGTCTTGGAGCAGTTCTCAAAACTGACACAGAAACATAGTAATGCTTAAAATGAGCTATTTTAAAGGAAAAATTAAAATGAAAACCTTGCCAATAGCAAACATGGAGGCAGTCTGCCAGTAATTGAGCCCATAGGAGAGAGAAAGCAGCTACAAGGTTAAAGGTTTTGGATTGTAGTCAGACCACTGAGGATTTTCTGGGAAATTTAATCACAGTTTGAACGGACTAGTCAAATCAATATTTAGATAGACAGAAGCATGGAATTGTAAGCTTAGCCTATATTATCTGCTTGGTTATGTCTTTGACATACCTTATGAGTTAAATTTAGTAATAACCATGGGATTTTATGTCACAAATCTCAAGTATACCTTTTACTAAAAAATAGTCAGAATGAAGATGAGAAACTATGAGCCAATGCAAAAGACAGATTTAAAATTGCTACATTCCTACAGGACACTGTGTTGCTTGCTAAGGAATAGGTTCATGTTCTC